CTGGAAATCACTCCCACGTTGGCATGGACATTTGGCATGGGTGGTCCCCCCCTGGAGTGGCCCCCTGGGTCCATGGGCTTAGCCAGTCTGGAGTTTTCTCCAACAAAGCTGTCTATGTTTAACCTGCCTAGGCAGACTTTCACACTAAGTTCAGATCTACCAGGAAAGCAGAGTGTACAATTTGCTCCCCTGTTTGACATAATCACAGGCTGTCCCGGCGCCTGGAACAACTTAATGAATACCTTAGGATGGGTTTTGCTGTCAGATCATAATACCACCTTTCACAAAAGCTCTTGACACTGTCACCATCGCTGTGTCTGACACTGTGACAACGTGAAGAACCCCCAGAGCTCTAGGTAGCAGTGCACTTAAATGTCTTTATTCAACCTGCATCAATCTGCAATAGCTACGCAGAGGAATGTCCTCTCTGATGTCCATTTTTTTGCAACCTGCTCTAGGTGACCCTGCTTTAGCAAGGAGATTGGACTAGATGATCTGTAGAGATCCCTTCCAACCCCTACCACACTGTGATTCTGTGATTTTCTGGGCAAATTTTTAGGATAAAAGACTGAGGAAAGGTATTTCTTTACTCCCAACACACCAAAGGTGCACTATGAGCCTCATTACTCAGGTTTATGTAGTGCTAAGGCTCTGGTGATGCCATTGCTCTCCTCTGATAAACCACAGGGGTTTCACAAGAAGGTTGCAGCACAGCCCTGAGAAAAAGGAAGAAAATGAGTTGACCCACAGAGACAGAGAGGAAGGATTGTGCTGTCATCAACCCCAGACTGCCTTCCAGCAGCACTTTTTTTTTCCCTCAACAATTTGAGAAGCCAGAAACCCCGAGGGATGATTTGGGCTTTCAGTGAAGCCCATGCTGCTGGTGCTTTGAAAATCACCCCAGTTTTGGAACGTCACGAAGCGATAGGCCAAGACCTCAGAAATGTGCTGAAAGGAAGAGCTCAGAAAACACATTTGCATGAGACTTGAAGAAGGGCAAATAAGGGGCTGATGGCAAAACCATGGTCCCTGACACCCAGAGATACCCCTGTTGGGACACCTGCTACACAGACACTGCTCCTTGGGTCTTTATATGGAGAAATCTGGGGCTGACTCTAGGTTGCAGGGATGTTGTAGGGGGTGTTTTGCAGCCCAGCTGGGGAATTCCCCTGTGAGGACACCCTTGAGCAGAACCCAGCCACTGTCACAGCTCCCAGCTGGGCTACTGCCCTCCCCACCTCTGCCCCAGGCATCACTTGGGCACCACCAAAGCCTCAGACATCTTTAGAGACACCACAGAACTGTGCTGAGCAGAGGTGGAAACCAAGCCCTGGGCTGTACAAGCCCTGGTTGCAGACTCAGCCTTTTCTCCTGCCTCCTCCCTGCATGGTTAGTGGAGATTTTCACTGCTCAGGTAACTCCCCAGCCTTATAAGATTCAATCACTGCAACTGATTTTAGCCATTCCTGTTGCTTCCTTTCAGCTAGCAATGACTTCTGCAGCCTTCCGGGTAACAAGCTTCTCTTTACATATACATATTTTTGGTATGAATTATTCTGGGCACTTGGAGGACTTAACTGAATCACCACAGCATCACCCCTACAAGTACTTCCCTTGAGTGTGTATATGGATAATACTCTGCCCAGCTGGAGCAGGCTGGACTGCTTGACAGCTTCACAGTCTGTGAGCTGAAACAGGAGGATCTGAATCAATTTCAAGCCTGGTTTCAGAGTATTTAGTCCTTCACCACTGCACCACACACTTGCAAAATGTCTGCTCTGTTTTCATACAGAAATCTGAAACTACCGTGCCACCAGAAATCATCTTAAGTACTCTGGAGAGGATCAGCATATTCCAGTGGCAGGGTTACTAAAATACCTGTGTTGGAAAGACCATACTAGCAATGCTAAATTGCTGTGTGTTAGGATTATCCTCCTTCCTTCCTAGTTAGAGGTGGGAAGCTTTGCATGTGAGGGGAGGACAGTTACAGCAAACAATGAGTATGAGGCACATGAAAGCAGAGAGAATAAACCAAGGGAAAACAACCCACTTTGCTATCGATCAATGAGTTACTGCAAGTAATTTTTTCCTTCTGCTGTTTATGGGGTTTCCCCATTCTAAATGCTGCCATAGTCACTGTGGTGTAACATTAATTTGTTTATAGAACCCTCGAGTTGCATCTAAAGACTCAGATGTTATTTCAGAACCACTACACTCAGGGAAGATTTTCTAAAACCTGTACATTCAAACTTCATGGAACAGTGATTTTTTACCATAACACTAATGGGGTCTCCTTCCAAGGGCACGTGGCTAACTGTCCTACCATGAAGAGACACTTGCCCAGCCCTGCAGATGCTCTGCTCTGGTCCCCTTCAACCTGCACCTGGGCTTCAGCCTTGTAATGCACTTGTCTGAACTCTATGTTCCATCTCTGCTCTTCATACCATGCACCAGAAAATGAAACTGATGGGCTTGGTTTAATATTAGATTTAATTAAGATTAAACTACAAGATGAGAAGCTCCAGATCATAGTGGAGACTATAAACCAGCATGTATTTTTTGCATTTAGCCCAGGTATTAGTTAATTTCCACCACAAAAAAAAACAAAATAAAACAAAACAAAAACCAACCAAAAAAAAAAACCTCTGCATTTTTCCTACAGCTTATTTTGTGGCTTAAAATTGGTAAAAGACCAAACCTCTATGAGCATTTACTTTATAGTAGCAATGTAATTCCTTTGTAGCCTACCACATCACATGCAAAATACTATTCAAATCCTAAAAGGGTATATTAAAACTCTAGGCAAGAGGTGTCCAGAAATTTAACTGTCTCAGCCCATGTTAACTTTTTTTCTACAAGATAAAGTTACGGAAACTTGTTTCATGAATGAAGCTGTCCTCCATGAAGTGTTTGTTGGCTGAAATTAGTAACAACAAAGTAAAAATACTCATAGATGTACTTGAGGCTTAACAGACTGAGTGATTCACAAGCCTGGGGAGTTTCACCTGTCCTGTCCCAGTGGGAAGCTGCAGGCAAATGTTTATCAAGGCGGCAGCGCATTATGATTTCAAGTTATATTTTAAAATAAAAAAAGATTAAAAAAAGACCTTTTGTACTTGCTGGTTGCAGAGTGCAATGGTGATGAACAAGGATATTCTTCTGCTTTTGGTGCTTGCAAACCTCAGCAGAGACTTCTGATAAATCATTCCTTTTTACCAGAAAGGTCATTATATTGGAAGTAAACTTAAAAGATACAGTATTTACGATTTTCATGTCATATTTCAGCTTCTGCATTTTGCATACTGGGCACTGAACAAAATCTGAATACTTTGTTGGAGGTAAGAGCAAATTTACTGTCATTTCCCCCACAGAGCTTCTTGTATCAGTGAGATCTCAAAATGCTCCTCAAGCTACTCCATAACTTTACAGAGGAAAAGAGGACCAAAGAGTAAGACAACAGTATTTCTCTGAGCAGCAATAAGCCAAATATAGTCAAATTTTTAGCATACAGAGTACACTGACATACACAGTATAAATTAACTTCTCCATTTGGCCTCATGACTCTTTCTTGGACTTTTATTGTAGCTTGTAGTGAAAATTTAACAGCACCCTTGCATTCACATGATACTGCTCCAGGTGTGAAGCTCCTGTAACACCAGCACTCTTGCCAACCTCCCCTGCCTCCCAGTAGCAAACTTGGAAGGAATACTAAAGAGCATATAATTTCTTTCTTTTACAGTTCTCTTTAAATATTGTTACCAAGGCCAGCACTATCACAGCACTTCTTCCTCGCTGCAGTACAGCGGCAAAATGCAGTGATGCATATGAGTCAAATTATCTTCAAAGCAATCTAAATTACCTTAGATGAAGCATGGATTTAACAGTCATTAACAGTTTAGCACTTGTTTGGTACTGGACGGACAGTAAAGTCAGAAAAAAATGGCTTCCCAAGTGCTATTTTACTGCAAGCAAACTTACATCAAGTCAGGTTGCATCCCTGTTTTTTAACATCCCATACACACACTGACACCTTAGTGTCCTGACTGATTTGAAGATTTGGATTTCACTCCTTAAGGGGAAAAAAAAAAATCACCTTTATTCTATAGTTCTGCTTGTCAGCACTAGTACATGGTTTAGTGCTTAGTTTCTGCTGCCTTCAGTGTCCTGCTGCACTCCAAGTGGAGAAGCAGCACTTATTTATTGTCTTAGAAACTAAGTTCCTACAATCTTTCCACAAAACCAGGCTTAAAATTGATCTGGGATACTTTAAGTGCATTTCAGTGAAAGCACCATATCCATGCCCTAGATATTTGTCACCTGCGTCCTCTTCTGCTTGAAGAACTGCTCAAAAGCTGCTTTACCCCCCCAACGCCAAGTGGGAACGGAGAGTCCTCACCAGGGAGCTGGGCTCTCTCTGCCCTCCTGGAAGCCTCTGCAAGGCCTCGAGAAGAGGGGACATGCCCCAAACTTCCAGTCAGAAGGTTTCTTCAAAATACCTTTGTAACAAAGGGCTGGCAAGGAGGAAAGAAATCAAATAATGAAGAGTAGAGAGTTGAGCCCTGCCACCAGCCAAAAACACCACAGACACTAGCTCCTTACTCCCTGTCCTGCAACCAGCCAGAGTACTTGCTGTAAGATGTGTGGACCTCCATCCTACAAAGAAAAGCTGCCAAGGTTTCATAGTAAGCATGGAGACAGAGAGGTGAACTGTGGTTAACCTCTGGTGGTGTACCTGACCTTCTAGTTCCAATTGATGTTCAGATACTTTTGTTTCTGAAGCACAGAAAGCAGCTCTTGACAAGTGGTGGCTTTCAGGCTACTGTTTTTTGACCCTTTGAACGCTCAAAATGAGCGCAAGTACTGAAGCAGAACACGTGAGAATGACAAAGAAATCCTGAACTCCCCATCAACCAGTTGGACTCGAACCTTGCAAGACTGCATTTTATAAAGTTTTTTCCTACATTGACAGCTACTCTATGTATAGAATTTTGTCAAAATTATTATAAAACATTTATTGACAGTAGCAATAAAGAGAACAAACATTTTTTGTAAACAGGAATTAAAGCAGAAATTGGCTTTAAGTCATTTCTGACCAACCAACTGTACAAAAACTTAAGCAAAATAGCTGTTAGGAAGGGTGGGTTTGGAAGAATCCACACTAAGTTCAGGAGATATCATGCCTTATTAAATCACCAAAATAAGCTGTTATTGTCTTCAGTTTGTTATTGAGAAAATTTTGTTCTATTTCAACTTTCCCTCCTGGCCCTGCTAAGGAAGCCACCTGAAAAAAAAAAAAGAACAAAAAGCAAATCAATCAATGCACAGGAAAAGAGGCAAACCCCCAAACCTTTTATTCATGCGAAACAGGGTGGAAAACACACCTTGGCTCTGTTAACACTGGTGAGAACATTCCTTGTCACCTCATATGTTGGGTCCTCTTCGGGTGTCTCCTTTTACTCCTAGAAGAGGTTTGTGGCTTCCTTGTGACTGAAAACATGCCCCTCAACCCACGCCATGAAAATAAGGTGGCTTCAGAGCTGAAGATAAATACACATCTCACACATTGTGCAGAGGTGAGAGGTGCCAGACTCTGCTTTGCAGGGTACTTGTCATTTGGGACACTAGTTGCAAAAAGCAAGCTGTGAACTGTGCTTTGAAGGTGTCAAAATCCCAAGTTTTGAGGGAAGAGTAAACCCAAATTCTGGATAAGGAAGTACAAAGGTAGCATTGAAAGGGGTACAGGGAGCAACCCCTTTTTGATCCCCTCACTATAAGAAGGACATTGAGGTGCTGGAGCAGGTCCAGAGAAGGGCAGCAAGCTGGTGAAGGGTCTGGGGAACATGGCTTCTGAGGAGTGGCTAAAAGAACTGTGGTTGTTTAGCCTGAAGAAGAGAAAGGTCAGAGGAAAACTCCTTGCTCTTGACAACTCCTTGAAAGGGGTTGGTCTCTTCTCCCAAGTAACAAGAGATAGGATAAGAAGAAATGGCCTCAAGTTGTGCCAGGGGAGGTTTAGGTTGGATATTACGAAAAATGTCTTCACGTAATGGGTTCGCAAGCACTGGAAAAGGCTGCCCAGGGCAGTGATGGAGCCCCCATCTCTGGAGGTATTTAAAAGCCATGGAGATGTGGTGCTGAGGGACATGGTTTAGTGGTGACCTGGCACTGCTGGGTTAACAGTTGGACTTGATGATCTTAAAAGGTCTCTTTCAACCAAAGCTATTGTACGATTCTAATCCAAACACAACCAACCCCAAACGGGCAGAGAAGCTCACAAAAAACAATTACATTTTTTTTGTTGTTGCTATTGCAACTGTTGTGTGCACTGGAGTCTCAGCTGAGAGAAAGGCTGGGGGCAGCTGAGTTACTGCAGGAAGGGAGGGCCCATCAGGCAGCACTGGTCCCAGCTCTCGTGTTTGTGATCACTGGAGTGAGGATCTCATTGTTCATGCTCTGTTGACTGAGCCTGATGCACACCTTTAATGCTTAATGATTACAGACAGACAATGTTTTGCAGTGGACTTTGCATTTTGGACTGGAGCACACAACACCCTCTCCTCTCCTGTTCCTAGTACAACCCTATACAGGCTACCAACTGCTCACCAAAACAAGACTGCACAGACAGAAGGAAGAGAACATCACCAAAACAAGACTGCACAGACAGAAGGAAGAGAACATCACCAAAACAAGACTGCACAGACAGAAGGAAGAGAACATCACCAAAACTGAGCATTCACTGCTTTTGTTCTCCCCCATTGTGGACCCCAAGGACCTATGCTGCAGTGGGGCTCCACAGCCAGTTCTGCTCCATGCTGCTGCTTACTCTGCCTGCCACTGGAAAACTTCTAAAGTTCCCTATGCAAGGATACTTCCCAGGCAGACAAACCAATCATGGTCTACAAGTCTGTAGTAGACTTTAACTGATCTTTAAAGCAAGAAGTCTGTGATGTTAGCAGCTGAAACTTGAAAGTTCAGGTTGCAGTATTAACAGTTCTGAACTCCTCTGAGACTCAGTGCTGTAGCACAGGTTTAAATATAAACATGCAACTTCCTCTATTTTACTGTAAGTAAAAAACCAGCCTGCTATCAAGAGGAAATAACAAGAGGATTAATCTAAATTATACCTTGAACCTTTATTCCCTTGCCCACAAAATTACCACATCAAGCATTTACTTTTCTATTTTTTTCCCCTCCTTTTAAATTTCTTTTTGTTTCTACAAACAAAACCAAAAGTGTGAGTGGTTTCTCCATCCTTCAATTTAATGGTAATAGGAAAAATATCCCCACGTTCTTGTCTAAGAGGAACCTGCCACTTAAGTAAAAAAGCAGAAGCTGGCTGACTTATAAATAGCACAAGAATCTGAACTTGGCAAGTGATCAGGAATGTTAATTTTACAAGTTATCTTTTCTTACTTGAAATCCTAAAAGCAGTTAACGCTGTGGGGTGATCCATGTGTTTTTTTTTTTTCCCAGGAAGATGTTAAATTTGTACTTTTAATTTGTTACACACAAAAGCTGGAATGTTCCTTCTAAAAAGTGTTAAAGGCTTTGGATTAGTCAACTTAATATGTGAATATTAAAGTGGCTGCCTCTGGGTGATGTACCCCTGCTTTCAGGGCACAATTTTTGTCATTAGCAGATACCTAAGTGTGACTAATGCGTTGATATTAAACACAAGTGTTTACTGAATACTTCTCTTAGAAGACCAAGTAAAGCAAAATACTCCGTTAGTAACACGGGCAAATGCTGCTCTGCTGAGGGGTGGTGTCCACCAAAGGACACCCAAGAAGTTACACACACTGTGTCTAGCTTCTAAAGCGTTAAATCCAGGATAATTAAGACTAATTTCAAACGACTACTCAAAGTATTTGATAAACCCAACTGTGACAAAAATCTAATGAGCACAGGGGCGTAAGCTCCGCAGGGACGGGTCCAGCACCACACACTCCTCAACCCTCCCTGTGTTCAGCAAAAAGCAACGCACATCCTCTGTGACGATGCTTAATTGTAAATGGCTGGAGGTTGCAAATTTAATTATGTAGGAGTTGCCAAGTTTTCTGCGGAAGGGCTCAGTCAACCCTGACAGGGTAACGAGGGAGAGCTGAAGCACACCACGCTTCAGAAAGGTGCCAGCTTGGCAGAGGGATGCCCTCTAAAAATAACAGCAGATTGAGGAATGATGCGTTGAGAAAAACAAAAGTGCTCCTCTATTTTTAGAAATATCAACACGCATCTCCTTTTCTGCAGTGAACTGCAACAGTGAGTATGGAAAGGCTTCTCAATTTCTTTTAAGACTAGGCCGAAATGTGTTTATTCTGCATTTTCCTGTGCAAATACAATGATCCTCTGGCTGGCAGCTCTCCCTGTCATCCTTTGTTCTTTATCCCAAACCCAGATACTCTGGGGGCAGATAATTCCTCTTGCTGTGCTAGGTAATTCTGCACGGTCCCTCCAGGCAGGGGCAAAAGATGAACCTTCTATTAACACCTCCCTGCATCCCTCTCACCTGGATGCTTCATTCTTCAGTTCAGCAGCTGCTGATGGTAGTAGTTACATCTACAGACACAGCCACAGAGCAGTGAAAAAGCAGCCTGCAGGTTTGGTCTCAAGTTTAAAATGGGAGCCATCAGAAAATAAACATGAAAAGGGAAATGGAGACGGAAGATTACTTCAGGATCACAAGCTGCTTAAGGTTCAAAGTTACTTTGTATTGTTTGGGTGTGTTTTTGAACTTGAAGGTTTTCCTGCTGGCCTTGCAGAGTTTGTTTTCATCTTATTGAAACTCCTTTACTAAAGTAACTAAAGTAACTGTATGATCCAGCCAGCAACTAAAATTACTGTGGATAAAAAGCTCTATCGTAATTTTTTTTCCTCTCTTCAAAGAAACTCTTCTAGGGTATGAAAAATAAGCTTTTTGGCTTCATATGCAGTCATACAAGAACAGTGTGATTCCTTTCATTTTATAGAACACTAGTAAAAAGAGGAACTTCCTCCCCTCACAACCAACCTAAAGGCTAGCGGAAAAAAATCCCAACCCACTTGGAAAAAAGCAGCGATGGTATTCACTACACTGAACATAATAAAACACAATGCTCTCAGGCAAGATTTTTGGAAGCTCCATCACTGGAGGTGTTCAAGACCAGGTTGGATGGGGCCTTGTACAACCTGGCCTAGTGGGAGATGCCCCTGCTCATGGCAAGTTGGTTGGAACTAGATGATCATTAAGGTCCCTTCCAACCCAAACCATTCTATGATTTTTCAGAACGTACAGGCTCGAGATTTATGTACTTATGTTTTAAATTTGAGGTAGGCAAACTACAATCTAGTATTCAAATGCTATAAGCTTCAGGAATATTGAAGTGCAGAATGGCCACACTCTGGCTTGGTGTATGCTGTGAGTATCTCCTGGCTTTGTCGTTTACCAAGGACAGAGGACAGACATGAGCTTAAAGGAAGCTGCTTAAAAGCTGCCCTTATTAACAGGATAGTTGCAGTTGAAGTTTATGTAACCACCTTCACTCAGAAATGACCAGCCTGCAAAACACACCACAGTCTTTTACCTGCCAACTCCCCTAAGACCCAAACATTTAAGAAATACAATCAAATTAAGCTACCTTCATCTCCTGGCTTTTCACTCCCTCCTTTGCTCATTGTTACATTTAACTCCTAAACAAACATGACCAGGTCCCCTCTGGCCAGGTCTCCAGTCTAAACTCACAGCTAAATGAACAGGGGCAGTGGCAGTTTTACTAGTCACCCTCCCATAAAATTTCTTAATTCACAGAGGTTACCATATATTAATTAAACTGATCTCTCTAGTATGGTTTTCTGTTCTCTGAATGACACCAGATAGAATTAAAATAAATAAATGAGTTTTATCCATCTTTACACTCCCTTCATTGACCAGTCATTGTAACAACTGGATTTACAACACCAGAAACAAAGCAAACATCTTCCCATCAAGAACTAGATGTGCAGACAGAACAAGCCTTTGGTGTCCAACTCTAGATTCTCCCCAAGTGGATGATGAAGATGAGGTGGGAACAAAGGCAAGAAAAAAAGAAAAGTACCTCTACGATATGTATTCTTTGTATGACTGTCAGGGTCAAATGCACTTTGCTTAATTCTGGGCTCACAGAATCACTTTACATGCTAGACAAGGAACAAAAGTAATTTGTATCTTCTGGCAGTAGCTGGAATGTAAGCCAAGTCTGAGACACCAATATTTAGCACAACAAAAGCTCCATCAACAGAAAAATTTCACTAAATTAAGCACAGCTATCACAAACAACAAAAAAACACACCCCTGCCTCCAAACATCTGCCAGTCTTGCTGGAGCGTTAAGACTCAAATGAAAGATCTCCTGCAGGTATCACCTTTCTTCCCCTTGATCTGCTGAAATGTACCAGCCAAGAAGGGGCATTTTGTTTTTCAAAAACACCATTGGCGGCTAAATGCAAGTTTAATCCCCCAGAACTGAAATAGTATTACTATACTACTGGCCCATAGTGTCCACAGCTCCCCCTCTTTTATCTTTTTAAGGGATGTGGCAAAAACCTTAAGAAAGAACAGACGCAGATGTAAAGACGCTGCAAAGACAAGGGCATCAACAACAGTGTCACAAGTGAGCTACGAATAGTCACTGTTAATAAAACAACGTATTCTTCATCTATGTGCACACATATATATAATTCCTGATTATTCCTTCACTAGAAAAAAATATTTTGAAAGACTGATTTGACCTAAAAATGGACCTGTGTACACTACAAATTTTGTAAAAAGTACATGCTTGTAAACAAGGAAAATGGACGCAATTAAGGGAAATGTTTCACATTTCTTGTAAGTACACCAGCTCCATTCCCCTGGCTCGCTGCTCCCTCTCGAGGCAGAAGTACAGAAGTTCTTTACTCCTCTCCCACCTAAACCTAGTGAATCTTGTAAGGCAATACAAAGAACTCCATCTCTTTCTACAGGTCTAACTCTGTACAGAAAAGGCGGGGTCTGCAGATATAATAAGCACTGGTTTTGATATAAAATCATGTAGAACAAGGTTGGACGTTCTGTCTCTCAAGAGTCCTCTGACACAGCTAGGTCAAAGTCAATCACCTGTTTTCACACCAGCAGCAGGCTCCCTATTCTATGTTAGCAACTTACCAGTAAAAAAAAAAATACAATGTATTTACCACTAAATTTGCATCACCTTAACAAAAAGTTAAGCAGTATTGTTATTGCAATGTTGCTTCTACCTGCTGGTCATTTCTTTCCATTTCTGCTTGAGATCCATTGTCAGGCAAGCAGACTTGCACTGATACACTGGCTTACATGTCGCTATGAACATCTTCATGGAGATTTGCAATGGCAATGAAGTCAGCTTCTAAAGCAATTTAAACTGACAAAGCACATGAGCACACGTTGGTTGTGGATTCAAGCCAGTCAACGAGAGACAAGAGGTAGAGCACTTCAGTTTTAACAACTGTCACCTACTCCAGGAGCTAAGCAATCTCTGGCAGCCTTACATATGTATGTGTGCATAAAATTATTTTTTGAGGACATTTAAGACTCACTCCTCAAGTTTTTACAGGCCCCTAAAGTTTATGGGCAAGTCATGGTACCTCACTACACCCTAGCAGTAGTGTCCACAGGCCCTTCCTGAGACAGTCACTGCAGCAGAAGCCACCTTATCTGCTCATGAGAAAAGTAGGATGGGAACTGTGGGAAAAACCATGAACAAACCGAGAAGACAAGTGTCTACACTAACCCATGAACAAACCAAGAAGACAAGTGTCTACACTAACCACTAAGGAACTTCAGTGACAAGTCTTTTCTTCTGGAGATTCACAGCCCTGGAAGTGCAGTGGCAGTAAATTCAGAAATTTCACTCTGAAATACAGCCAGAGATGACAGCAGCCAAACCTATAACCAGCCTCCTATAGACCAGAGTACCCACTAAGGTCATGTTTGGGATGGTTCTGTTTGACACACCTCTGTCCACACAGGATTAACATTATAGCTGCCTAAATCGTGGGCTAGATTTACATTTTTTAGCACACTCTCATATCATCAACTCTAGGTTTTTTTGTTGTTGTTATTGCCTTTTGTTTGTTTGTTTGTTTGGGTTTTTGGGGTTTTTTTTTGGTTGTTCTTTTACTGGCACAATCAGCCAAATTCCCTTCCTGAGAGCATCCCATAGCCTGGATGACTATGGGCTATGAACAGTATAAAAAATCCTTGTGAGTACAACAGAAACCTGCTAAGTCCATTCTTCATTGTGGGAATGAAACATTTGGTAAAATGCAGTGGTTAGAAGTTGAAAAGAGAGAAACTCTGCCTAAGATTCATAAACCACTTTGACATTTCACCAGCCTGAAACAAAAACCACAACTGAATGACCACCTGCCGTACGAATGGTGCTGTGCACAGTGCAGGCTCCTCAGGTGAATTTCAGCCTGGTTCTCAAGCCAGTGGTCCTGCAAGCCACCATGTGGCTTGAGACCTTGTCTGCTCTAAGTCAGACACAGCTTTTTGAAACATTGGGAATAATCCTGGGAAGTTTTGCAGCATGGTGCAGGTGAAGAGTCTCACTGCTCCCTCCTTTGCAAAAAGCTAGACATTATTAACATAGACAATACACAGAGGAAACTAAACCAGACACTCAGGGGAATTGTCAGTCATCTTATTACTTAAAAAAAAGTCTAACAAAATACTGTAATACAAAAAAAACCCCGTGCTAGTGAAACAAATTGTGTGTTCCAGTCAGTGATGCATCCAATCTATCTTATCACTGCAATGCAAGCAGCCCATACAGAACCACACTCCTGTGTGGGCAGCATCAGTGCCACCTCTGGTGGTATGACATCTGTTTCTGATCTACTCACTGGTGATAGCAGTGACTCCAGTCTGCACAGGGATTTCCTGCAACTCCTTCATAAACTGAAAGCCATGAAAGTTTAGGACTCAACAACTTATCAGGTAGTAAAAGCTGGTAAAAATATTTTTTTTCTTTTATAATGAGGTATCTATCTGGCACTCAAAAAACCTAAGCTTCTGAAAAAAACTCCAAACTGTCACAAAATAAAAATAAATAAATAAATCTACTACTCTCATTTCTAAAGATTTCAAAAGTCCTGCAAACACAGAAATCACTTAACATAAGGTTAAACATAAACATAAGGTTCAAACATAAACCTCCTCCCAAATCAGCTGAACAGACTTAAAAATCTCAAGTTTGTGCTTATAATAGCTATGTTTTAAGTCAGCTGAGCTTTCTGTAATTACTAAGCCCTTATCCAGTAACACACCTGGTCAATGTCAGCATTCCGAGGAAGAAAATACACAATATTGTTGGTGATCTTCTTGGAGAGCCTGAAAATTTCAAATGTAGAAGCCAGTAAAGGAAAAAAACAAACAAACAAACAACAAAACAATAAAACAATGGGGAAGAAGTTGGTTTATATTAACTCATTTTGAAAGTATGACCCAAATTCAGTTATTATGCAACTCAATTATCGTCTTCTGTGTATGAGTTACTCTCCTAAAATGCAGAAATTAATATTATTTAAACTCAGAAACTCTGTTGCACCATTATTTCCCTAGAAAGTAGAAAAAAAAAATCACTCCACAAACCCTCACTTTCTAAGAAAATTTAACTGAACTACAGAGAATTATTTGAGAAATCTGAATGTAGTTTATAGCCAGTATATTGGTTTGATATTTATTTTCTAATCCATTTTGTGGAATCTCTCTCACACATTTATGCAAAGGCTTCCTTACTCTTACAAATACAGCTACATTTTAGGCAAAAAGAAAGCACTTGAGATTATTTTTGGGGAAAAAAACCCCACCACACTTCAAATTTGATGAAACTATTCTGAAAATACATTCCTACATAAATGAGTGCTTAATACCATTGTATAATACCATTCCATACTAACTTACTAACATTATTTAAAAAGGCTAATATTTTGCTTGCACTCTTCTGTCATTTCCCAAGTCACAGGCAAGTGCTACAACTGAGTATAGTTTGAGTAAGATATTTTAAAGATAAGATATATCTTTTATAAATCAATTAAAAAGTGGAATTGGGTCACATAACTATTTATTACCCATCTATACACACCACATGGCTATTGCATTAGTTCAGGACATTTTAATAAAATAACAAAGGAGTTAAAACTGCTGAATTAATGCTTTGCTACTATAATTCTCTAAAGGATTTTTCACTTATAAAAAACCCTCAAAAGTTTTATTCTTACAACTAAAAATTATAATAAAAATATTTAATTTTAGGTGGTCAAAGTCATATAGCTGAGGTAAGGGGAAGAGGACTAAACAAATCTGGCACACATCTGGGACTTCAGCTGCTGGTCACATCACCTCCAGTCAACCAACCAGACATGCAAAGCATGTTAAGAGAATGAGAAGAAAGAGAGAAGACCCCTTGTGAACAACTGCAAAAATCACAGCATGTCACTTTGAAAGGATATCCGTCGGGGCAAATCATGGTTTGGATATCGAAGATTTCGGCAGTGGCATAGTCAGGCCCGCCCCAGGGTGGGCTGAGGAACACAACATCTGCTTGTAGGTCGGCAGCCAGCACCATGAAGTCTCCACACACAAACTCTATCTGATCCACCACACCATACACCTCGGCGTTGTGGCGTGCAAGACGGAGCTTCTCAGGATCAACGTCAATAGCGATCACTGCAAACAAAAGAGAGCAGCCGCGCGGGTCGAGGTGGCCTCTGAATGCCTCCTGACCATCAAAAGGACGTTTCAGAAGGAAGCAGCCACCAGCTACAAGTCACATCTACTAACGACTGCTGTGCAGTGAGTGATTGCTTCAGCTTTATAGGTCATGGCAGGCACAAAGCTACATTCCTCAGAGGTGAAGGACGTGCCTTTGCAGAGGTTCCACCAAGAGCAGAACCACTGCGTTTACAAACCAGCAAGGGAAGCCACACAGCCAAGACTGGGAAAGTTCAGCTCCTGCTGCAAAGCTGGGATGTTTTAGCTTTTGGCAGTCACACATTTACTATCATGGCAGTCATAGATCTACTATCATGACAATTTTCCACCTCTGTTCAGGCAGGGGACAGGTGAGACTGTCCACCTAAGAGAGGAAGTTATCCTCACTTCAATCTTGGCAGGAGCCTGACAGATTAAACAGCATCAGACAGAAACTTACTCTTGTTAAATATAAACATTTATCTGTGTCCAATCATACTGTACTGAAAACTGAGTCTAAAAAACCACCCAACACAGCACAAGAGAGATAATACCAGGCAGCACATAATCATAGAAATAAACGTTTACCCAGGAAATACAAAAAGCTAAGGTAGATTTTGAAAACATTTATAGAAAGGATCATAGCCTACCAAACTTAATGCAGTAGAAACTACCATTTGTCTTGCTCAGAAATTACTCAGAAGAGTCAGATAAGCTGGTATTTTACCAGTGTCTAACAAGTAGAGGGATATCAAGGAGTCAGCAATTGTACAGAAAGTACTCTCAATGTTTCACTGCAATTTCATTAGATGGCAAGAGGAACTTAGACTAATATTAAGTTATGATCATTTTTCTATATTTGGTTCTGCTGCCCCTGCAGGGGATCCCACTCAAGTGTTTTAAGTAATATTTGCACATAACTTTTGAGTACACAGCCTTGGCATGACAGCTCTGTGGCGTCTCTGCAGGTCAGCACTGCAAGCAGAACTCAACCTTCAGCAGCAATCTTCAGAGATTCAAAAAAAATAATGTTGACTAGTACAACACAAATCCAACCCTGACTTAAAATAGAAAAGTAGTTTTATAGGTCCTTTTCAAAACCAGAAAGCTCATACTGTGTGTGTCCGATGATACAACAAAAGCTTCTGTTGCTTAAGAAGCACTGGAAAAAAAAAATAATCGTCAGACAAAGTGCATATCCGAATTTTTAGGGAAAAAGATTAAAGCAGCAAAGTACTGTGCCACGTCCAGTGGCTGCTTACCTCTTTTTGAGGTCAATGCAAACTGAATGGCGTTTCCTCCAACCCCACAGAAGGCATCCACCACGATATGGCAGTTGAACGACTGACTAACACGGACAGCAATGTGCTCAGCTATTTTCTCAGGAGTAACAGAAAACCAGCCCTCTGCAAAGGAGAAGGAAGAAGTGTATTTTCTCCTCTTATTTCAAGGTCATCTGAATTAAAAACAAACAACTAACCTCCCCCACACAACTGAAGCTTTAGCGTTAATCCCAACCATTTTGGCTTAGAGCATTTGACCAGGAAATAGAGGCTTTGAAGATGATAAACTCTGCTCAGTCCAGAGATTTGCTAAGCAAACAAAGTCTCGCTGAAGCAAACAGCTATGCCTGAACCTCAGTAAATGCTTTGTTGAACTTGATACGAAGGATTCTGGCTTATCAAGGACAAGTCTACTGAGACAGCTACAAAATACTTTCTACAGTATGCTTATGTTCTGTAACAAAATCAGAAATCTACTCCCTCTTTCCTGGTGTTACTTTCTTTACAGCAATGTCTGGTCTGTCAAATAATCATCTCCATGTTCATGTGGGAGAGTATTAGAAGTAAAAGGCTTACAAACCAAACAAAGCCAAGATGCTCAAAAGCAGTAATCCTAATTCCTCCTTTACCTAGAAATTTGTGCTTTTGAAGTGGTTTCCGTGTAAACATGGAAAAAAAATAACTTTGAAAGTGACTGCTGAAAGTCAGAACTAACCAGAAAAAGAACTAGATCCATCAGCATGTTTGGAAGCTTCACTAAATTATTTTATAAAATATACACATCTAAAAATATAATGGAGTTTCTGAAAAAATCCTGACCTGGAATAATTTGGGTACAGTATGATTTTAGGCAAACATGAGGATTAATGCAATCAGTGGTGTCACGTGAGAAGCATTACTGAAGTCAGTGACAAACTACAAGAAGGGCGACAGGTTTGGATACATCTTAGACCACCAAGTGAGTGCACTTTGTACTAAACACACCTCTGTCCAGTTTAATCCCCTCGTCAAACCGAGAGAAGAGCCGGTAGCGCTGTGCCCAGTACTTGGCCAGCTCTGGATCAGCAGCAATCTCAGCAGGTATCGATCTCAGGGCAATTTTATTCCTCCTCCTCCTTTTCTTCTCCTTCTTCTTCGTAGTAATATTTTCATCTACGGCTGGAATACACTGCAAAAGTTAACAACCACTGCTCTTGGAGGCCAGGAATGCTCTCGGCAAGTAGGTGAGAGACAAAGATATAAGATGCTCATGTTTAACAACATGGCTAAATGTCCTTTATTACTGCTTGCCAGATGATGCAGATTAGTGGTTTAAGTTAAAAAAGAGCATCCCCTCTTTCAAAGGAATGGTGTTACCTGACAGCTATCAGTCTCAGTCCTAAGAATCATTTCACCCATGATTCTTCCCCTCTTCTCCACTTTCATGAGACCCCACCTGGAGTACTGCATGCAGCTCTGGAGCCCTCAACACAAGGACATGGACCTGTTGGAGCAGGTCCAGAGGAGGGCCATGAATATGATCCGAGGGCTGGACCACCTCTCCTATGAGGACAGGCTGCAAAAGTTTGGACTGTTCAACCTGGAGAAGAGAAGGCTCTGAGGAGCTCTTATTGCAGCCTCTCAGTATTTAAAGGGGGCCTGGAAGAAAGCTAGGGAAGGACTTTTTAAAAAGGCTTATGGTAATAGGACAATGGATGATGGTTTTAAACTAGAAGAGGGTAGATTTAGATTAGATGTAAGGAAGTTCTTCACTAAGAGGGTGGTGAGACACAGGAACACATTGACAAGGATGTTGTGGATGCTCCACCACTGGAGGTGTTCAAAGACCAGGCTGGATACACAATCTGCTTTAGAGGGAGGTGTCCCTGCTCATGACAGGGGGCTTGGAAGTAGATGATCTTTCAGGTCCCTTCCAAACCAAACCTTCTAAGATTATTTAAGAGCTTTAACAGGAAAGCCATCATCTTCAAATGATGGCAATAAACTCTGTACAGTGAGCAAACAAGTGGACTGGAGACTAATTTAACACCCTTCTAAGAAAAAGGGGTAAGAACCAATCTAGACAGAGTTTTAGAGTAGGAATCTAACATAACTGCATTACTACAGGAAGGATTAAACTAGATGTAGAAACCCGAATAATCCTGTTTTCTTTTGCTTATATTATTAAACAGAAAAGTTTATGATATAGATTTTTTGATCCCCTCCTGTACAAAATTTTAAAACATGCTCCCCCAAACTCAGCAATGTGCATCTGAGAACCCAAAACTGATGGTCTGGGAACTTACTTGAAGTTAATCACCCTCATCCTTACAGGAGTAAAAGGGTTTGAATTGGAGACCTGTTAGATCCCATTTAGGATCAACAATGGCTGTTTACCTGTAAATACTGCCAATGTTAAAGACAAGACCTGGGATTCTGGAGTTCCAGGAATAAGGTACTTCCACTAGCACAGCTCTCAATCAGCCTCATTACCCCTTGGACTTAACAAGTCTCTCTGAATACAGAAAATAAATAAATACCACACCATACTGTAATGTGGGAAGGCAGCATTAAGTGCCCTGCCTATCCATTCCCAGTTTGCAGGAAACTGATGTACCTTGGCTGACATCCTCTGTCTCCGGCCGGAGATAATCAGGAATATCCAGGGAGACCAGCTGCCTGCCTGCACCCTGCCCATCATCAGAGCCACTCCTTGCCACATCCTGCACTTCCTCCTCAAGGTTACTCCCTCCAGGTTCTGTGAAGACCATGCTGGAAGATGGCTTTTGGTTTTCAGCGTTCAGTGTGGCAGTCTGGGTGGCACTGATGCTCTCCTGATCCTCCAAGTCGGAAGACAAAGGCTCAGCTTCACCCTGAGGGGAGGCTGTCTGGGATGTGGCTTCCTCCCCAGGTTTATTAACCTGCTTTAGGAACTCTTCTACCTGCAATTGTCAAATATCACAGATTAGATGGTGCTGTTAACCAGCTACTGAGAGTACAGTTTAAACCCCTTACAGTTAGAAGTAGCTGCCATGCACACACACTCTGCCATGTGTACTTTGGAAACAAATAAAATACCCAGAGTCAAAACATTCAGAAAGTCCTTAATTGTGGTCCTCTGCCATACTCTGCCCTTCAGATTAGCATAAGCAGGCACAACTACCTTTGTACATCTGTTGCCTCATCTCCAACATGTACCAAAAGGTGCATGAGCTAAAGGGTTCAGCTGCACAGTAGAGAGCACAACACTACATCCTAGCCACCATTCAGACACTCATCCAAACTCTTCAAAGGCAGATGCAGATGTGCCCTTTTACGTTACAATTGCTCTGAGTGGCACTAGGTGTGGGGCAGTTCCCTACCAGAACATCCGAGGAAATTTGTAATTTCGTTTTCATTACCTAACTAAAAATGCCCTCAAACTAGAGTGGCCTCAGGTACCAGATGACAATGGTCAAGCCTTTGATCAAAAATTGTAGCAGTGGGAATGGAATTCAATACAACATGTTGTCACCACCAGAAAACAGTGCTTCGCACATTGGTGTCAAGGAATGCCAAGCAAAGTAACACTGAAAATCTGAAGTAATAGATTTTAATGAGACTCAACTAAGAAAATCCACACCGAGCAATTTTTTCTACTCATTATTACCTTATGAGTCAAAAACCAACCAAACAACATGAAGTTATATATGAAAATAAATGCAGGCAGAGATGTAAGCAAAGAGGTTGATACAATTACCAGGAACATGGAGTTACATTCAATACACTAACCTATACAAACATCATTCTCTCACTGCTGAAATGCCAGCAGGAACAATAGTCCTCACAGGCATTTTAAAATCAAAGATACTTTTAGTAACTACAGAAGCCTACACACACCTCTAAGGGAATGATGGACTCAGAAGTCAAGAATAACTTTCACATAATAGCAGTGTGCCCAGGTAGCCAAGAAGGCCAACAACATCCTGGCTTGTATCAGCACTAGTGTGGCCAGCAGGACTAGGGAAGTGATTGTCCCCCTGTACTTGGCACCGGTGAGGCTGCACCTCGGGTCCTATGTTCAGTTTTGGGCACCTCAATACAAGAGGGACATTATGGTGCTGCAGCATGTCCAGAGAAGAGCAACAAAGCTGGAGCACAAGTCTTGTGAGGAGTGGCTGAGGGAACTGGGGCTATTTAGTCTGAAGAAAAGGAAGCTCAGGTAAGACCACCTCTCTCTCTACAACTCCCTGACAAGAGGTTGGAACGTGGTGGGGTTTGGCTCTTCTCCCAGGGAACAAAGATAGGACAAGAGGAAATGGCCTCAAGCTGCACCAGGGGAAGTTTAGGTTGGATATTAGGAAAAATTTCTTCCCTGAAAGAGTTGTCAAGCCCTGGCCCAGACTGCCCAGGAAAGTCGTGAAGTCCTTATCCCTGAACCCATTTAAAAGTCATGTAGATGTGGTGTTGAGGGACATGGTTTAGCTTTAGGGACATGGTACAGTTAGGTTAATGGTTGGACTTGATCTTAAAGGTCTTTTCCAGCCTAGAAGACTATATGATAACTTTGCCATTAAGCTCTATCACATTCCGCCTGATAGATTGCAAAGAGTCCACCAATCCCATTCCATGCCCACCCTCATCTAACTACTCTTCAGGGGAAGAGTAATGGATTGACACTTCAAAAATGCCACCTACTCTGGGCAATTATTATCTTTTTAATGTTCATAATTCAATAACAAGGGAGCAGATAGATCTATGAATTACAGTGAAACTAACAATTAAACCTACCTTCTTCAAAGTTTTACTTTTTTTGCAAGCCATTTCAGATTCCTCTGTAAAGAAGATGTGTATGTTTTTGCTCTTCCTTGGTTTACGCATATCCAAAAATTTATTCTGGAGTTTTGCTTTTTTCTCCAAGTACTGCACACTTCGGTGGGTGAAATCTGGAATTCCACCATACCTGAAATGTGAAAAAGGGGGGGGAGGGGCAGGCAGGCAGGAAGAAAGAAAGACTTGGTTAATTTCCAGTTCCGATATGGGAGCTTTAATGCTGATGTCTACAGAAAATGATTTAGAATAAATTATTTCTTTATGAGACATCTCCACTCTTGAAATATTTATCACTGGATGGGATATAGCTGCAAAACAATGTGTCTTCATGAAAACTTTCAAGTATTTTTATCTGAAAACGTTTACCTGAGTCAGGTTTAGATTTTTTTTTTAATATCTTTTGTAATAGGTATATAACTTCATGTGGAAATAATTTCCTAGAGCAGCCTGAAGAACAGGAAATAAAAAGCTCGATCAGTAGAATAAAACATGATTTTTAGGGCTGTAAAGAACCTCCAAAACAGCTACTTTTGTCTCCTGGCAAAAAGCAACCCCACACAAACATGGGCAATTAACTTAAAAAATTTTTATTAAATAGAACAGAGATTGTCAACTACCAAACATGCTCCTCTTTCAAACATACATATATATATATACACACACACATATATGCACATATACACTAAATAACTTTTATCTTGCAGAAGTTCTAGACCTAAGCAGCAGGCCACAGTGATGTTACATGATGTTACTTCTACAGCACTGACCACCCTATCTTTAGGTCATACCACCAACTGGCCAACACTTTATTAGCACAGCAACATTTTACTAGTATAAAGCAACCTCATTACAATATGAAACAACTATAAATTATGATCTAATCTCACAGGACTCCAAACTGAGAGGACCATTCATTGTCAGAGCACTTAAGCTCTAATTTAAGTAGCTGAACAGCTACTTAACATTTCATAGAATCATTAAGGTTGGAAGAGACCTCTAAGATCATCAAGTCCAAGCATCAAGCCAATACTACCATGACCACTAAACCATTTACACAACTGCAAGTACCTTACAAGTTACACTTCTGTTTCAAAGCACTTCTCTCGTTCTTTAGTTACTCTCTGTAACTTTGCATCTCTCTGTCTACCCAAAGGATGACAGTCTTATTAAGAGCAGAGACTAACTTTGGGAATCCTCTTCAAAAGTTTAACAAAAAGAGAATGGAGAAAAATGGTCTATTGGAATAACAAGAGAGCTGACTTGCTATCAAGTTCCCAAGTTTCTCATAAGCATTTACTTTTGTCCCGTGCCACGCTTGAAGCCCAAAACAGAGCAGGTTTCCTCAGGATCTTCCACTGGGTTCTCATCCACATCCAGTTCATGGCTAGGAAAAAATGTAGATGACAAAATTACTTACTGTGAAAAACATCTTTATTTTAGAGATGTACCATTAAGGAACTCAGGTATTAAAACCACTTAAATGTGGGTTTCAGTAAGTTTTTCCACACACTGCTGAAATCAAGCAAGGCAGAACGACCTCTTAAAATATTCAATATCAAGCCCTACATGGAACTGATTAAGACAGTGTTTGTTCATTCTGTTTCCAAATTACCTCCACCATCTATTTTGTTATCCATATTATTATCTATTATTAATGCCATGGCAACGGCAAAATATTAGAACAAAAAATCAAAGCTACATGATTAAAAGGTAATAATTCCATCCATCCCTTCACCTTTGCATTTGTGAATTTATTAAAGAGGAGGTGCCATCTCATTGTCTTTGTGGCTAGAAACTTTTAGCAGAGAAAGCAAAAGCCTGTGACAAGGCAGAGATTGGCTGGTTTATGATTGTTGAAGCACCGAGCACTTAACTGACAGAAACCAATTTAGTTAAAAAATACAAATTATTTACTATCATTCTTATATTGTCTAAATTAATTAGAACCTAGATAAGCAAATTGTCTTATCCGATTTAACAATCTTGTATACTTCAGTGGCACAAGAATAGCACCAGCACAGCACAGCCATCAAGGCCATACATTGTTTCCATAAAGCAATGAAGAGAAGAAATATCCACTGCTTTTTGCCAGGAAAAGTGATAAGTGGGGGTGGAAGACTATGTAGCTTTGTACTAAAGTTCTAATTCACAATCTCAATCAGATAGTTACTGTAATTCAGGAGGTTTCTGGACCTGGGCTTCCTGAGTAAAAAAGCCCATCCAAATTCATGACTTGCCTTCTCTTGACTTTGACACGTCTGTATTCAGGAGGCTCATCATCCTCATCTTCATCTTGGTCGTGAAGCAGCAAATGTTCTTTGTCAATTGAATTTAAGCTACATGACCCCTGTGAACCTAAAAGACAGATGAGACCATATTTTCCTTCTGCATAAATGAATTCCTCACCTTCCTGTCCCTGAAGTATGTCTGCAGCTACAGTTAAGGTTGTTGTACATACCTGAATCTGACAAATAACGCACAAGTGCCAAACACACACCTCTCCACCTGTCATCATTTGAGGGACAACGTGTCAATACAAGCTTCCAGTACTAGTTACACTGTAGAGTTAAGAATCTTAAGCAGGACTAACTTCAAATTATCTCAGCTCTCCAAGAATAATGAATTACCTACAAGGTACAAATTCAAAACAGTTTCTTCCTAGTGTATAAATTCTCTTGTCCCTTCACTAGCTATGCAAATATACTCACAGACATTTAACAAGAGAGGATTCCAGCACCCCTCTTATTTCTTGTTGGAGAGGAGATTTTCCTTCAACCTCTCCCATTCCTACTCTGTTGTGGGATCAAGATGGGATCAAACCTGCTTCTTCCTTCCTTAGAAACTCAATACCCATGGACTCAGAAGTTTCCCACCAAACTGAAGTCCCGAGCTGCTGACACTCAACTCACGTGCTTGACCCCTCTTCTTCATCAGGAGAACCCTTGCAACAGTCAGGAAAGACGTTACACTGCTGCTCACAGCAAACACTGTCAGGAAGAACCAGCAAACAAGATGGCTCTCTCCTTTCCCTGCATGCTAAACCAGCTGGCAAGAAAATCTCCAGCCCAGTCCTGTACCTCCCTCACAGAAGCTCTTCCAGCAGTGTAAGGCAGAGCCACCAGCTTTCACCATACTACTACATTACCTGGCACTCTCTCTGGTTAGCGCTAGCTGTGAACGTATGAATTTGGGGCTGTAAAGATGACTGCAGCTCACTGCCTCATTGATAGCTTGATGCTGGAAAGGACTTCTGGAAGATATCTGGTCCACAGTAACACAGTACAACAGAATAAGATTTTATTTTCAAGGATGGCATTTTTAGACAGAAGGCAAAACAAACCCCCCAAGTTCTAGAATGGCAGAACTGGTTTTTTTTTTTTTCTTTCCCTCAAAAAGCTATTCTTAAAATCTGTCTGATTCATGAGAGCATCAACCTGAGTGTTCCTCCAGTGTAGACTATGAGTGAGAAAAGACACCAATTGAATGGCACAGCTGCAATATCAATGCAAACACACACAAACTAACAGTGTTCTCTCACCACTTTCTGTAGTACACTTAAAGATTTGTCAAGTATATGTTCTGTTAAAATCACTTCTGCCTGAAGAACACATTCAATATACAGGTTAGAGAGGAGAGAGATCATCCAGAGAAGCAAAGGGAAGGAAACACAAAGTATGGAATCACTCCAAAAAATACTCAATTGACTTTTTTAAAATGGCATAATAAAGACATGTCCTTGTTTCTTATATATAACCATCTAAAGAAATATTGGCAGAATCAAGTTGAGCTGATTTTGTATTACCTGATTGATTAATACTTTTCTTTTCAGAAGAAGCACTCTTTTTCCTGGTTCCTCCATCACAGGGCTCCTGCTGGCTTTCACTGTCAGATGAACTATGCTCTTGAGGACCCTGGTGGGCTCCTGTTAGAGCAGGACTGCTCTGTTCCGCTTGCTCCAAATTCAGATTTAAACTACAAATCCCAGTGATTATTTCACTGTGGGGCTCAGCACTTGAAGGGAGTGTTTCCTCACTCCTGGTGTCAGAGGGAGACAGCTCCAAGCTCAGCACATCACTGTGCTCAGCCCTTGCACTAACCAAGTCCACCTTCCCCAAAAGATCCATCTCCTGGGTGACCCCATTAGTTTCCATGTTGTCCCCATGTGAGCTCTCCATAGTCCATCCTTGACTTGTCCAGTACTGAAACTGTTCCCAGTAGTACCAGTACAGTTCACTATAATGCTGCTCCCACTCTTCCCTTGTGTCTGGACTATTCCAAGGCTCAGAGGCTGTGGTGGCCTCAGATGATGAGACCTCTTGATGTTTCTCCAGCCAACTTTGCCAAAGAAGGCCCTCTCCATACTCGTTCCAGTACTTTTCCCATTTTTCTTTAAGTTTGCTGGGTAAAGCCTCACTTGCAAGACTTTCTGAACTTTCACAGTTCTCTTCACTTACAACCTGAGGTTTGCAGCTCTTCTCATGTTGCTCTGTAGCTGCAGTCAGCTCACCAGAAATGGCCTGGATATGACCATCACAAGCTATTCCTGCCCCCTTTTATCCTCATGTTTTGGCTGTAACCCTTTTTTCTTCTTTTTCTTTTTCATAATCTTCATGTTACTTCTCTTTCCATAATTTTCTGTTGCCTAAAATATGACAGAAGAACACGCTTAGAGGTCCACAACATACATGCAGTCTTTTCTTGTCCTCTCTCTGAGCACATTTCTATTCCCATCATAAGCCCCATCTCAGCTTCCTCCCCCACAAAAGGCTGTAGAGTTTATGGGTCTGACAGAGCTCTGTGCATAAGCTTGGCTGACATTTCTGAGGAAGTTGTGAGAAAGAGCTGTGAGAAAGTCTACAGAAAGACACACACATGCCCTTTGGAACAGCCTGGCCCTGTTTAGTCAAACTGGCAGGTGAGCTGTCCAAACTGCACAGACCATGGACGTTGCTGCACGTACATGAGGCAGGCAGCTTAAAGCCAGCTCAGATCCATCTCAGCAATAACTGAGGAGGAGACGTGTCCCTACATCTGGAAACACAAAGTAAACCAATCAAATAAAGCAAATGAAGATTTACCACAAAGTCCCTGCGGGTTGACTGGCCACCAAACTGGAGAGGCAACCCCATACTCTTCATAAGCTCGGCCTCCGAGTCTAGTTCAACTTCTTCCAGGTCAACACTATGATCAGTATCCACCTTTAACGTCACGCTGGGACAACGGTTCTCCTCCTCGGACGCTTGTTCCTCCCCTGTTCACAAACCATATTAAGTGACTATAGTCTGGTTCTCATATCGCATAACTTTTTCTTTTGCTCACTCTGCCCTCCCCAGTGAGTAGGCTGGGTCATACAAGAGACTGGGAGGGGACAGAGCTGGGACTTGCACACATTTTAAGCAGTGCAAATATATTTTTGATTTTTAAAATGTTTAATTTCTACCAAATTTTTAAGCAACATCATAGGTACATAAAATGACAAATACCACTAAGAAAGGAGGAACTGTATACTGATGAACCTGAAGAAATACAAAAGCTCTTGATATTGTTGATAAAACAGAAAATGTTAAGATTTTTGGTGGGGATGGGAAGGGACAGGATGTATTTGCTGCCAAATTTTGACACAGCACAAGACTCTTCTGTTTTTAACCGATGACGCTCACCGCAATTCAGTCATACAGGCACAAAACCATGGTTGACATCATCCTGCACTCCATTCACAATGTCTCCATCTAACCTGTGATACTCATTCTCAGCTTCTGTGGACACTCTTTTTTGTTAAGACTCCTTCCTTCAAATTGAGCTATTCTATGATGCTGAAGCTAGCAAGAGAGCAACAGGAAAATTAAATACCAAAGGAATTACGTTCAGAAAGGCATGTGTGTGGAATTCAGGAGGATGGAGCAAGGTATTGCTGTTGGATTTGCCAGGGCATACACTGTGATTACTCCTAAAACACAATCAAGTATAGAACTTACTGCTCCAGTCCTCCTCACTCGATTCCTCAGGTACAGGCAAATCATAATTTCACCCCATCATGGCTATTGCTTCTTAGACTCATTAAGGTTGAAAAAGACCTCTAAGACCATCAAGTCCAACCACCAACCCAACACTGCCATGACCACTAAATTGTGTCATTTTTTCCCCTCACAATCCCTGTGAGAGATGGACTCCACCACCTCCCCGGGCAGCCTGCTCCAATGCCTCACCACCACTCTGTCAGGAAAGAAATTCTTCCTAATATCCTAATTCTTCTTGTCCTGTCACTGGTTACTTGGGAGAAGAGATCAACATCCACCTCACGCCATCCTCCTTTCAGGGAGTTGTAGAGAACAAGGTCTCACCTGAGCCTCCTCTTCTCCAGACGAAACAACGTCAACCGCTCCTCATATAAGCCCTGTGCCCCAGACCCCTCACCAGCTTCGTTGCCCTTCTCTGGACCTGCTCCAGCCCCTCAAAGTCTTTCTTACCCTGTGGTGCCCAAAACTGACCCCAGCCCTCAAGCTGGGGCCTCCCCAGCGCTGAGTGCAATGTAACTGCTCTACTTCTGGCCCAGTAGATCAAGCAGCAACAGCTAAGGTCCTTGGCAGGAGTAGTGGCAGCAGGACACTACTACTCCCACGTAAACATGTAGGATTTGCAGGCACTCCCCGTTATATAATTAATTTTGACACAAACTTCCACATCCAGATTAGAGTAACTTGGAAGATACCCAAATGCTGAAGTTATTCACATCCTTCCGCATAACAAAAACATTGAAAACCAACCCAGAAATAAGAACAGAACTAGGGGTTAGCAGCTATACCATCCTACTGCACCTCAGCTAATCACAGATAACTCACCTGTACTGCACATCGTATCGCACAGCAAATTTTACTTCCTTACCTGTACTGTCATTGTCATCTTTGACATAAAATCCTTTTAATCCCAGTTTATACAGTTTTCGATCTCTGTAAAAAGAAAAGAGACATTGATGCAGGAGGTCATAATTAAAACAATTTTTCTTAACAGCAAACCCATCATCCAGTGGGGCAACCTCCCCAGGCATGTGGTAGAGTCCTCACTGCTGGAGGTTTCAAGGTATGGCTGGGCAGGGTGCTAGATAAGATGTGAAAGCATGTTGTAGAGATGTGGGTGCTGGTGGTCCTCACAATTAACAAGTGATAATGGCAATAGGAAAGGGCCTCAAGTTGTGCCAGGGGAGGTTTAGGTTGGTTATTAGGAAAAATTTCTTCCCTGTAAGAGTTGTCAAGCCTCAGAACAGGCTGCCCAGGGAGGTGGTGGAGTCCCCACCCCTAGAGGTGTTGTAAAAGTCATGCAGACGTGGTGCTGAGGGACTTGATAATCTTAAAGGTCTTTTCCAACCTAAATAACATCATGATTCTGCAATCTCATCTAGGTTCTCTTTCCCACAAAATGCTGGCTCAGATGATCTTAAGAGGTCCCTTCCCAGCCCGGGAAAGCCGTTCTGTGATTGTAGACGCTCGAAGCAAAGAAGAACACACAAACCGCTGCACTTTAAAGCCTCCGTGAGGTACGCTCAGAAAACGCTGCTGCTACACCCAGCTCCCAAGAATTATATATTCGGGCCACAAAACGCTTTGCTGAAGTAGGTGGAATTTAGTCCCTTCAGGCCAAAACTGGCAAGATTTCAGCCAGCACCAGAAGCCGAAGACGCCTCACCTCTGCAAGCTGAGCACCGAGCGCTTGAACACAGAAAGCTGCGGTACCAGCGGCAACACGGCACCCCCGCGACCAGCCTCCCGGCCCGCCCG